GCATCGTGTAGGTTCGGCTTTATGATCACCTTCTTTCCATTGCACACTATCACCCGCTTGCTCGTGTTATCAGTGTCAGTGTCCTTACTGGACTTGGGTAGGTTGATCCTGACATGTCGTAACGCATCGCCCAGTAGTTCTCCGGCCACGTTAGCGGCAAACTTCGTCTAGGAATCGTCTTTCTCCCACGAATACGATAGAGCGATGTATTTTGGACTGCGCGTTAGATCTACAGTGTGTAGTCTGCACTGGATCAAATCGCCCGGGTTACTAGCACTAACTTCTAACAGACGTATACTCGTGAGCGTCGGTAGTGCCAAGTACGAATAAAACTCGGTGTTGTCGAGCGGCTGCCACAAGAAAACGTTGAACTGACGCTATCCTTTCTAGAGAGAGATCATTTGGAAATTGTACCTACTTACATTGTACTGCGTAAACAATTCCTTTGGCGTTCGAATTATGGTGCCTTCTTCCCACGCTTTTCGCCGCAACGCCAGCTTGACTGACAAGTCCCAACGCATAACTTCCCTTTTCTTCTTCTTCTTCTTCTTGGCAGCGCCCTTCTTATCTGCCGCTTGAGTATTAGAAGACATTGTCATGTATTGGTAACATGTGTCTAGTTAAACAGACGGAGGGGAACCCCAGAAAGTCTTATTTAGGGGATGCGTCACTGGGCCCTGACGTCATGGGCTGACAGCGCATTGTATATCATTTAGTATCTAGGTAAACTAACCTCTACTCAATTAAGTAAATACATTGCGATCGGGGATGATCTCCCATTGCTCTAGAGGTAACTGGGTTAGCGCATTCGAAAGGTGGTAGTATTATCGTCCTAGTAAAAGGATAGCTCACGCGGAGTAATGAAGCATGTTAGATCAGATGCTGTAGCAATAATTAAAAAATAAAAATAAAATAAATTTACAACGGGCAACAAAACCAGTGGCTATTGGGTCATCGTTGACTCGCTCGAAACTATATACTGTATGCAGGTATCTACTCTCGGGTTCTGCGACAGTTGATTTGATTGAGAGGCTATTGTACATACTGACCTAGAAACGGGCTGTCCCGTCTTGGCGCTATTTCTTGGGATGCCACACTCTAGCCAGTGGATCTGTCACCGATCAATTAACTATCTTGATGCTACCGGGTTCTCATTTACCAGTACGATCGCACGAAAAGAAATATACATATACCTATATTACGGTAAGAGTTTTAGTAGAGCTAAGAAGGCCCGGGGGGCGTGGTGGCGGCGGTAGCGGAGGTCGGGGGACAACTACTACGGGTACGCATTGCAAATGGGGATCTCTACTGGTGACAACTGTACTCTGAAGCCGAATCGAGCGTTCGCCAGAAACCCGTAGCCCATGATTTTCGGTGTACCGCTACTTCCGTCTAGGCCCGATAAAAGTCCGGATCACGAATTTCCTAGGAGTGGGTTATAGTATAGGAGCTGGAAGAGTATCACGCAACGTAGAATTTCTATTTATACAGAATCATTATATTCCCATAGTGGCACGTCAACTAGCTGTCCCCGACAGCCTTTTGAATTTAAGCACAAATCCAGTTTTCGGCCTTATTTCGATTGCCTTGAATGAACCTCGCCACCCTCGGCCATGGACACAACGTTCTCTGACTTTCGACAGTCGGTGCCGTCTCGTTCACGAACTTCGTGGCGATGAGTTCATCCGGCGGCGAGCCTTCTTCCACCCACTTCATCAGCGCCAGAACAGAGTCATGCTTCGCATCCATGTACCCGGGCACGGAATGCGTCACATTTCTCACGCCGGTCAATCTACCGGCTATGCCCGCTATCTGCGATGCTGCTGCTATATACCACGGCGCGTCTGGCTGCGTGGGTGCACTGGACACGCAATGGTTCATTCCTGGGACGAGGAATAGTCGTAGGAATGAAGACAATTGAGGTTCTTCAATATTCATAGCCGCAAGGGTCTGGTTGACGTACTCAATACTTGATCCGGCTGGAATCAGGGGGTCGGCATAGCCATGGTACATGATAATCTTGCCCCCTCTTTCCTTGAAGCCTGAGATGTCGAAGTCACTCGCTGTCGAAGTCACTCGCTGTCGCACTACCCGGGTTGATACGAACCGCGGCGAGAAAGTCATCGTCGGAATATGACGTGAAGTTATATAAAGTATCATTGTAGACGAAATTCTGAAAATATCCATATCCTATGGAGATAGCCCCAGATGCGAGTATGGAAGGGTCAGCTCCAAATGGGAAGCCCTGAAACACGATCGTGTTGTTAATCGTATAAGGAGAGAGCATCTTCTGTAAAGTGGTAAGTTGAGGCTCAGTTACGCAAGCAGTCTGGCTGGTGGACGGAGACGAGCAGAGAAGCGTAGCGTAATCTATTCTGCAACTAGCAGGGTCCTGGATGATCGAGTCTGTGACACCATCTTGGCCATCGCATACCTCTGTGATTTGCGTGGTGAGCAAGCTGAACAGAGCCTCGGTAATATGATGCGGAGACTCTGGGGGATAGTTCTGAAGTGGCACCCAAGTCGACCATGGCTGAAGGTGAGTGGTCTGCCAAGCGGCATCGCCGATCAGGGCGCCATCGAAATCGTCGGGATACAGTTGAAGTAACCGCAGACCCTGGCGACCACCAGTGGCACATCCTGTGTAGTATGAGCGTTTGATAGATGCTGGAGTAGTTTTATTGTCACTGTAGTAAGCCGAAACAATCTGCTTAGCCAGGTTGACAGAACCATGTAGAGCACGATAACTCCAATCGATGATGCTTTCTGGATTATTGAGCGCCCATGAACTGTCTCCAATATCTGAAAGATGACCCGTGTCTGTTGATACAGTCGCAAACCCGTAGTGAATATACTCGCCCATGTCAGGATACTGTTCATTGTCAGCTGTGCCCAAAACACTCAAGTAGACGATGCGTACGTTGATTCCTCCCCCAAAGCCGCCGTTCCCAGTAGTCATCAGCCGATTATTCCAATGGTCTTGTCTCGGAAGAAGAATCCCCATGTTATACGAAGTGGTGTCGGACGACTTGACATTAAGCTTGACAGCGCATAGCTCCGGCAAGTTAATGGCATTAACAGGATATTCTGGGCTGAGATCGAATGAATATCCATCTGCTGGAATTATCGTCGCGTAAACGACTGTAGTTGCAGGGCTTTTCAAAGATTCCAAGACTGACTTGAAACTGGCCACGTTACACGGGAGGCTTGAGGCACAAGCAACATTGAAATACAGCGCCCCAAGCGTGGTGCCGAGCCATCTCGACTCCATGACACGGGTAGTAGGCTAACGCTAGGATCCAGAGAGTGAGGGAATCGTAAGAGCATAGGGGCGAAACTGGGTTGGTTGTCGGAAGGGACTGTGATATCTGGTTTCTAACCAAAAAGACAAGGCGATGTCGTCAGCGAGCGAGATGCTAATAAGGCGATCGTGAAATAACTTACTCGGCAAACTCAAAATGACTCACTATGATTTTCAAAAGTCTCACCCGCCAAGATATATCGGTGACTAGCCGTATCTTCACTAGCACGGGGATCGAATAGGTCGTGAAAAGCAATAAGATCAAGGATACTCGCTGCACAAAAGATCCTGCGTGTGTTGCTTTTGCCATTTCAAGCCAATCATGGATATTTGTGTTTATAGTCAGCTGGCTAAGTGACTTACCTCATCAATATCAATCTTCATATCTAGCTTATGGTTCTCCTTAGAGGGAGTCTCATTGACTGGTTGGACCGATTGACCCTGTTGTTTTGATCTTGCATTTGCTCAATCCAACACAGGGAAACCGGAACGAAACGCCAAGTATGGGTATCGTATAAGCGTCATCAGTTACCTGCGACTCTAGGAAAAGCGACCCAGTCGCTGAAATCCAGTACTTTCAGACCTGCCAGCCAGCCAGCCACGCTGACATACCTACGGAACACCCTTGACGATATCTTGTTGATGTTATTCGGGATGCGGGCATGGGAACTTTCTACAGGTCTGGCCGACATCTTTGCCTCAGCCAGCGAGTTCCACACGAGATTCGGGTAATTCCCGTCCCGCTCCGTCGCGTTGTTCACCTAGAAGTTATCAATCGCGTCGAACACCTTTGATCCCGGAAAAGGAGTAAGTGAGTTCATCGGAAGGATTAAAAAAGGGTTTCATAAGCATTATTAACCCCAGTCCCTAGGAACCGAGAGCCCTGAGTTTGTTGTGACTAACCAGCCCATCTCATTCGCATGAAGATGGCATCCAAAATGTGTTGAGTCCTGATGTGGGCCTGGAAAATCCGCAACCAGGCCATGAAGAAAACAGTGCTATAAGGCGAGGCCATCATGTGGTTTCATTGACTGCATAGCAATAACTTGAGAAACCATCGGCATATTGAGTGAGGTGTGTTGCGCCCTGAAATTAACGAATTCTTCTCTGATCGTACACCCTTCTGTATAACGACGTTATATAGGGGACTCGGCTGTTATATGGCCAATCCAATTTCAACTCACCTAATACAGACAGTCGTGATGGTGAACTGGCGGTTAGGTCGGAAGTGAACCTATGCAGCCAACCGCAGAATCACCTGAGGCCCAGACTAAGTAGTGAATGTAGGATCATTCTAACTGATGCCAATACCGATACCAAACTAACGCTATGTCGCCAGTATCATTGGTACAAATAAACCCATTAGGAGCAGAGGTCAATTGGGCATTTATATGCTATTGGGATAGGTCCACGGTGTTGGGTGCGCGTGAGTTATGCAAAGCAAGACTCTAACTACCTACTAGGTAGTGCGTTTCAGATCCTTTACCATCCCGTCGGTATAGTGGGGATATAAAGCAATCGACTCCAACAACCGGCATCAGTGGTTTAGTGGTAAAATCCATCGTTGCCATCGATGGGCCCCGTGTTCGATTCACGGCTGATGCATGTCTCTTCCAACCAACGCTGGCATCGTATAGTGGTTAGTACAGCTCGTTGTGGCCGAGCAAACGCATGTTCGATTCATGCTGTCAGCAGCACCTCCGAATTGGTGTAGTGGCTAACATTTGACGCTCTCAACTGCCTTCTTTACCTCTTTATTCGAGGTTAGGAAATAAGTAAAAAAGTGCCGTCAAGCCCGGGGTTCGATTCCCCGATTCGGAGTAGCTAGTAGGAGGGTTAATTTTTTTTTCCTTTTTTTTCTTTTAGTTTATGCCCTCTCTTACCTTCATATAGAACTCACCAACCACTATGGAAGTATTGGCCCTGCTATGAATGCAGCAAACAAAGTGACAATGCCATGGGCTTTAATGTTTACAAGCCTTAAACATATATCTTGCTTTTGGCTCTTAACGCGTGTTATAAACTCCATAGGCGCTCCAGGATCTGTTAATAAGATAGATACATAGATAGGTAGACTGATGTAGCTACGCCTAGGCCCCAGCTTTCCATTTTACATGCTTGCGATGTCATCCTGGGATAGGGCGGTATTGTAAATGAAGCGTCTAGATAGGGGTACCTAGAGCAGGTACCTATTTACCCCGCCATTAGCGCCCACGTCTTCCTGTCTGCACTACACAGGTACCCGAAGATAGGTAGTGCCCCACCATCCCACCTCAAAAGAGTCACAGGTTTTTTCGAGTCACCATCAGCTACTTCAACCTGACCGGACTCCAGAACGGATTCGGCAGCCGTATTTAAATCGTCGCATTATCCTCGTCTGTCCATCTAAACTGTGCGACAAGATGGCGACGACAGACCAAACTGCGGCCACCAAGGTCGTTCCTAAGATGGAAAACGTGCGGCAACGCCTCCCTTTACTCCCCCCCGCCACACCCAGCCGACTGACCTGCCCGTCTGCCAGACCGAGAAACGCGACACTCTGATTGCCGACGAGCTGCGATACCAGAAGGAATGGGACGATGCCAGGATCTTCCAACAGAATGCCCCGGCAGCTGACGAGCCGAAACCGCCCAAGTTCTTCGCGACGATGGCATACCCGGTACGCATATCCAAGTCCCCCATTCCGCCCCCGTATCCACGGGGCTTTGCCAAATCCCTTTCCGTTGTGGCATTTACTGACGTCCAGCTTGGAATAGTACATGAACGGTGTGTCTCTATCTGAACGGGGAAAGGCGTTGGACGGCTGAATCTAATTCGCCTTAGGTACTCTTCACGCTGGTCATGCTTTCACGTGGTCCAAGTAAGTACAGCTACTTTCACCGCAACAGGTGTCCAAGGCATTAATTGTTCCTGCGTTACCCAACAGAGTCGAATTCATGACAGGATTCGCCCGCATGCAGGGTAAAAGGGCTCTGTTCCCTCAAGGTATGCACTGTACGGGCATGCCCATCAAAGCTGCGGCGGATAAGCTGAAGCGCGAGACCGAGATGTTTGGCCAGAACTTCGAGAATGCCCCCTCCGCCGAGCTCGAGCAGCTGTCAATCGCCGACGCGTCCAACACTAGCAAGACTGATATCAGCAAGTTCAGTGCAAGTAAGAGCAAGGTCGCCGCTAAGTCGGGTAAGGCCAAGTATCAGTACGAGGTTTGTCGCCTGAACTACGCGTCGGTCCGGCGAGCACGGGTTGACAAGAATACAGATTATGCTGTCTCTTGGTATTCGTATCGAGGAGATCCATAAGTTTGCCGATCCGTATCATTGGCTGCAAATCTTCCCTCAACTTTGCGAAGCAGACCTCAGGAGAGTCGGTGCCCGTGTCGACTGGCGGAGGTCCTTTGTCACAACCGACGCGAATCCCTTCTACGACTCCTTCGTGAGCTGGCAAATGAACAATTTAAAGGCTCTGAACAAGATCAAGTTCGGCAAGCGCTTTACTGTATATTCGCCCAAGGATGGTCAGGCGTGCTTGGATCATGACCGAAGTAGTGGAGAGGGCATTGCCGTCCAGGAATATGTCGCCTTGAAACTGAAGACACTCGAATGGTGTGAAAAAGCCAAGGAGATCATCGGCGACAAAATCCCTGCGGATGCAAATGTGTATTTTATACCTGCTACACTTCGCCCGGAAACCATGTATGGCCAAGTAAGTATTGGGGCTTTTTATTCCTGCGTTCGTCAGCGATAAGGGTTACTGACCTCAGGGCTTTATTCCTTTCGGAACCATTGATCACACTCAGAAGTTCGATAGTTCCTATCCATAAACGGCCGTCACTAACTTCACTTCTTAATCAGACATGTTGCTTCGTGGGCCCGACAGTTGACTATGGTATCTTTCGAGTGCCGAAAGAAGGAGGGAAAGATGAGTATTTCTTCTGCAGTGAGCGCTCTGCTAGAAATGGTATGTATGAGAACAGTTATCATTAGCCGAAGTCTCTTCCGTTACGAACAATCCGTGGTGGCCCCTACTAACTATTTTTGCAGTGAGTAACCAGAGGTCCCACCATGCATCGAGATAAAGGGGAAACATCTGGACACCTCCAGAGAGAAGTGCTTCATAATCGGATTAGAATGCTAACACACAGCAGATGGCATTCCAGGACATCTTTTCGCCATGGGGTGAGTATCACCAGGTGGTCGGCCTAAAAGGTTCTGATGTTGTCGGAACCCTTATCCATGCTCCACTCTCAATCCACGAAAAAGGTATCAGAATCCTACCAATGTCAACTGTGAAACCAACGAAAGGAACCGGAGTGGTTACGTGTGTTCCCTCTGATAGCCCAGACGACTATGCTACTACATTGGACCTCAGGAAGAAGCCCGAATTCTACGGCATTCAGAAAGAGTGGGTGGTGGAAGAGATTCTGCCTATCATCCAAACCCCTAGTTCAAACTTGTACGTGTCACGCCAACAGAATTGCTGCTCATTCCCATGTTGCTAACCTATTTTTAGGATCGCAAAGCACCTCTACGAAACTATGAAAATCAACTCGCCAAAAGACCAAAAATTACCCGAGGCGAAGGAAATCGCCTACAAAGAAGGCTTCTATTCTGGCGTTATGGTGTATGGCGAATTCAAGGGCATGTCTGTGCAGGAAGCAAAGCCGTTGGTTAAGAAACAGTTGCTAGATTCTGGGTTAGCTTTTAACTACGGTGAGCCAGATGGGCTCGTCATCAGCGTAAGAAAGCTCCTTAAATTATCCATTCAACTCCTAACTTCTCTAAACGGTTTACTGATCCAAAAACACAACAGCGATCCGGTGATGAGTGCGTTGCGGTACGTTGAACTTCATCTTTTCAACGACTAAACTAACATCCATGTAGGCATACCTCGATCAATGGTATTTCAACTACGGTAAGCTACCTGGCTTATTAGTTTGTCCATTCGCTGATAACTTTAGGATCCGCCGAAAATGGAGGCGACCAAAAGTGGTATGAGGATGCGATTACTGCCATTAAAACGGATCGGACCAATTGCTTCTTTCCAGAGGGAAAGCATGCGATGCAGCAGGCACTGAATTGGTTGTACCATATCCACTGCAATATCTCGATTATCACTAACAGTTATATCCTAGGCTAGCACAATGGGCTTGTTCCAGATCTTTTGGACTGGTAAGAAGTTTGATATTCTTTTAAGATAACTACTAATGCTCTCCAGGGTACTAAACTCCCCTGGGACCACACCCAGCTTGTGGAGTCGTTGTCTGTAAGTTGAATCAAAGTGTTGCCTAGTCACCACCTTGCTTATCTTCACAGGATTCTTCGATATACATGGCGTATTACACCATTTGCCATTATCTGCACGGGGAGTGAGTAATATTATAATAATTTTTTTCCGGAGTGGCTGCTGTCAGACTCGAAATCTTCCACTCGAGCTGGATTCACCCCACAAGCCACATATCGCCGATACCTTCTAAATGTTCGCACGAGGCGAGGTTCCTGACTTAGTTATATAGTATTTACGGAAAAGTCCCCGGCTTGTCATCCAAGCCTATATCTCCCTCGCAAATGACGGAGGGAGTCTGGGATTATGTCTTTAAAAGGACAGACCACGTCGACAGCGATATACCCCGCTCCGACCTCGATGCTATGAGGCGCGAATTTTCGTACTGGTACCCCCTAGATGTGCGCATTTCTGGCAAGGATTTGGTCAACAATCAGTGAGTGATCCAAAGGGAAAAATCTGTTATGGTTTTACTTATTTCTCCGGGGTTTCTTGTACTTCTGGAAAACTATACTAACTGCCGATGCTAAAGTCTAATGTTCTGCCTTTATCACCACGTCGCTCTTTTCGACGAGCCGTACTGGCCCCGTGGAATTAGGGTTAACGGACACCTCATGTTGAATGGCGAAAAGATGTCTAAGAGCACGGGCAACTTCTTGACTCTACGAGACGCTGTTGAAAAATATGGAGCCGACGCTACCAGAATGTGAGTACCTACAGTCTTTACTTGCGATTTCAGTCAAGGATACGGGGGAAATTCCGCTGATATAGAGCGTTTTCGTCTTGGCGTTGCGCATGTTCCGGTAGCTTTTCCATCACTCGCCAAGAGTGGATTATGCTGACTTTACGATCTTGGAAAAGTTCACTAGCAGATGGTGGTGACGGAATCGAAGACGCCAATCTCGAAGAGACCGTCGCTAATGCAACGATCCTTCGGCTTTATGAACTGAGAAAATGGTGTCAAGAATCCGCCAACGATTCCGAGCTCAGAACTGGAAACTTAGGTCTCTTTGACAAGCTGTTCTTGAACGAGATGAACATTCTAGTCGCTCAAACCAAATCGTTCTACAATGATACCTCATTCAAGCTTGCGCTTAAGTCAGGCTTCTATGACTTTGTGAGTGAAGTGAGATATCTCGATAGCCATTCAATACTAATGAAATGACTAGATCGCATCTCGAGACTGGTACCGAGACGTCACCAAGTCTGTGGGCATCAGCATGCATCATAATCTTGTGGTGCGATATATTGAGCTGCAGGCTTTATTATTGACTCCTATGTACGTTATTCCTTCCTATTCTAGTCACGGCACGTTCTGACATGCAACAGAGCCCCTCATTTTTGTGAATACTTGTATCGCGAGGTGCTCAAGCATAGCGACAGTGTTCACAATGCATTGTACCCTGAAGTGCCGCCACCTGATACTGTACTGTCAGCTATATTCAATTACGTGCGAAGCGTAAGTTAGTATAAATGATATTTTGCGGTCAAGACTAATGCTAAGCAGGTTACGTCGAATATTACCGCCGCTGAAGGTAACC